TAGTTATCATTAATATAGGAAGTTAAAATACTGAATGTATATCATTAAGTATTATATGTAAAATATTTACTTGAATAATCCTGGGCTGTGATAATTTCCTCAAACTGATATTTATATACTAATTCTTTAGCAGATATGTATATCGGATGACTTTCTATATTATGTGCTTCACATATATTAACTGCTAATAAAGCGATATTTAAAGCTTCGTTTTTTCGCGATGGTATATAAGTTTTCATGAAACAACTAAAATGCAAAAGTAAAAGTATATAATCAGTTATATATAAACGAGTTTGCCAAGAGAACTTTTTTATGTCATTACTCTCCTCTAAAGTGTTTTTTGACAACATAGGTTTTTCTACTTTAAAAAGCTTTTGTTTCATTTGAAAGGCTCCATGAAAATGTTCAAGTGAAGCTGCAACATTATTTTGTGATGCATATAATTGTGCTCTAATATGTGTAGTAGCAAACACTAAATATTGATATTGTACATGTTGACATAATGTACATGTACAATTATGATGTAAGCAAAACTCTGGTGAATTAAAAATTTTTCTTCTCAAAATTGGTGAAGTATCATTTTGCATCGTATCTCTTACAGGATCTATTAAACGATTTGACGATGTTGTTTGTTTTAATTCAGTACTCATTGATAGCTTAATAGTTTCAATGTCTAAGATATGCTCAAGACCTTGAAGTTTCACTTCACAATCATCCAAATGTGAACGTGATAAATCAATAAAACAAAGAGATTTTAATATTTCTGCGGTACGTATGGTTGCTCCTAAAGCTTGTGCTGATTTTAATCTTTGCACTAAATGCGCAGTTATTTCTCTAAATGACAATAAACTGTTTATTTGTATAGACATATTAATAGTAGATGAAAATAATATGTCATAACTAAAAAGATAATTATCTGGATTCATCCCTATAAATAAACAAAACATAAAAATAAAAAAAATATGGAAACTAATAAAAGTACATTTTATGCAATAGTCTTACATTTTGTTCCAACCAAATTGTCTGTCAAACATATCAAGGAATAAAAACTTTCGATAATGTATAAAGTATATTCCTCTTGTTCCATGTTTTTTTTATAAGAATGACAATTACGAAGGATTGTATCTAAACTATATAAATATATAGCAGTATTTTTTTGGAACGAAATTCCTGGCAGGGATCTAGCATCATCCAGTAATTTTCTAGCTATTGTACACTGTAAAATAAAAATATCTTCTACTTTTAGCATATCATATTTACATACTTTAATGGATATACTTACTTCGCCACATTCAAAATAAAAATCTGCCAAACTGATCCAAAATACAGCAATTGAATGAGCTTTAATTTCATCGATAGAATTTTTTAAATTAGCAGCATATTCCTTAGCCTGAGCAATCCATTTATAATTTATTTGACGTAAAGAAAGGCTACGACCAGTAACTATGATGGAATACTTATTTATATATTTTTCATAATATAGATATATATACATAGATTATATTAAATTTTGCTTTGATACTAAATAATTATCCAATTACATACCATAAATGAATGCATCATCATTGTTCAATTCAGCTGCCAATTTAATTGCAAGATTCCATGCTCTTAATTCACATTCTTCATAACGATATAATCTAGAATACTCAGCAGCTATAATCAATATATGTAATGTCAATAATGGTTCCCAACCTTGAGCTACATCAGTCTGTATCAATTTTTAAAAATCAATATATTAGTAATAATGTAACATTTTATATATTTATTTTTCATAAATATTATTAGTATACAATAAAGAACTTACAATATTTTGTTCAATGTCATCCCATGTTTTTAATGATTTTTGTAAAAATTGCATAAGACGTAGATCTTCTTTGATATTTATTTTGGTATATGCTGGTACTACATAATTTCCTTCATTATCTGACAGTTTTGGAGCATTCAAAGCAAATTTTGTGTTATTCATTTCTATCTGGGTGTGTTCATTGGAAATATGCAATTCATTTACAAATATAAAAAATTCTAAATTTGCTTTTAGACATAAAATATCGATAGATTTTTGTTCCAATAATTCTAATTCAGAAAGTGTATCTTTGAATCTATCTGATGTATAACTTTCTCGTATATGTATCAGATGATGTCCCAGCAATTGTATGACACATGCACGTTGTTTAATGGTAGCTTTTAAAATCTTTAATTCTTTTAACACAGTATCAAAGGCTTCAAATAGATTAATTTTTGCAGTTTTCAAACCTTTTGCTTCACTTAAACACAACTCTATAAGATTATACTTTGATAAATTAATATGGAAGCCAATTTCTTCTATATTTTTTCTATCAGCTTGCAAACACGATATCATAGACATTTTTATAAGATTTGGAGAGGTTTTTATTATTTTATGTTTAATACTCGCCCACATTTTAAATGCCTTTGAATTCTTGTCCTTATAACTTAATAATCCATGTAATGCTGATACAGTCATTGCTTCCCTATACATGGCATTGTTATAATGAATATTACTTAATCTATATAAAGCAACACAGATAGGATTTGTAAGTTTTAGATATGAACTTTCACAATGTATTCCTTCAAAATAAATAATACTAGAACATAATAATGAAATAAATGATGAACTTTCATCATAAAAAGATTCAGATGTTGCTCCCATATTGTAAAGTAATCTTCCACACATAGACCATAAGGTTGTCCAATGTTTACAATTACTTTCTTTCATTTCTCTAAGAGAAGATATATTTTCTTCCATAAAATTGTTTGCAAGTCTACAAATATTTTCTGGTAAATCTTTCGGGGATAGTTTACTAACTAATATTATACATTTAGCTTTCAATGCTATAACATTATATAAATCTGTTTTAACTGTACATTCATTGGTACATGTACATTTTTCTAATACCGTATTCATTAAGATAGTACTTATCCGAACTATAAATTCCATGGTTTCGTATAAAATATTAAGAAATTGCTTATTTCCTAACTTTAAACCTTTTTCCCAATACATAAATAAATGTTCAAATATTTCAATAAAAGTTGATGTGGTAAATATGACTGTATTTGCATATCCATATTCTTTTACAATTTCATCGTATTGACTTGTCAAATTGTTTAGATGTTTAGAAGTAGATTTTGTTAATTCTTTAACTGGTTGTAATAACGTAATACATGTAGTCTTAAAATGTAGAAAACTTTGGCAACATTCTTCGTCTATCATATTCTTAAAATATTTAGATGCATTTTCTAAAATTTGTATTACATACTTTATATCATCTTCATTAATTTTTACACAAATTATTTTACTAATAATGCATAATATAAAATGATAAATTTGATATTTGTCATTTTTATCTATTGACATATTTTTGTATTCTTGATGTAATATGTATTTAATAAAATCATCAACATATTTATTTGATGTATTTCTAATTGTTATAACTTTTTTCAGATATATATCTAATTTTTTCAAAATATACTTTGCATTGTTTTTATAAGCTTTTTTAGTTATTCGCAATTCATTATTTATAATGTTTTTAAATTTGTCATAATTTTTTTTATGTTGTGGTTGTTCTTGCAAGATAAGAAACATTTTATCTGCAGAATCGTGCCACAAATATAATAATTGTAAAAAAGTTTCATTGGATTTATCTCCAGAGCAATCAAAATTTTCTTGAATTAAAAATGAACATACATTTTCAGCTTCTTCATATAAATGCATTACTAATAAACAACGAGTTATATGATATAAACTTGAAATAAATCTCTCATTATCAGGGATTGTTAATAAATTAGAACATAATAAGATAGTTAACTCAGCAATACTTTTACCTATCTCATAACTCTGTTTATCACATTTACTTGCGGTATGAGCCAAATATAAGAGCAACTTAAAGGCATCTTTGTTAGACATACTTGAATTTCCATTGGATTGAAAATAATGATTAGTCTAAAAAATCAAATTTTTATAAACACATAAGTTATTTATTATAATCACGTTATTATTATATAGTTATTTATTATAAGTTATTATTATAATCACGTAAGTTACATACGAAAACATATTTTAATAAAATTAGAAATAGTGAAATATAAAATCTTATTACAAACAATATATAATATAGATCGTAAATTGTTATGAAGTATATATACAAGTAACTATTAAATTTATAATGTAAACAAATATTTAAGCATAAAAATAAATTTAATTTAGCTTACCTTAACATCTTCTATTATATCCTGTAACTTTTCAGATTTTATTAATTCAATCCAATTCTTTAATTTCATTTTTATATTGTACATATTTTAAAATAACAATATAATTAAATATATATATATATGTGATACTATATTTTTCACTTAATTTTAGAGATAAGCAAATATTATTTGTAACAAACGAATAAATTAAACATAAATTTATGTAAGAAATCTTGATATGTAATAATTTTATTTCATATGATTCTCAAAAATATTATTTTTATAGTTGTAAGTTAAAATAATATCCATTTTAGTTTACATATAAAAAAAGGAGTAAAAAATATTTATTGTTTATGTTTAATTTTTATTGTAACAGATTAAAGCATTAAACCAGTAATAATAAAAATAGCTAATAGTATAAACACAATGATCGGAGCACTACCTAGTGGTACATTTCGAAAGTTATACAAAAAACAACATTAATTTCAAACTACATCATTTAACTGAAGTGCACTACAAACATATATATATATATATATATATATATATATATATATGTGTGTGTACATAGTATATATTTGTTACAGCTTATCTTAACAAATTATAAACATATATGATATTGGGTTGGTAACTAAGTGATTGCGAATTTAACAAAAGAAAGTGTAAAGTCCATCTATCGACAAAATCCGCAATCACTTAGTTGCCAACCCAATATAATATAAGTATGTGTATATATAACCTACTGACGTATTACTGCACCACCTGGGTTTCTATAGACTGAACTAAAATTTGCAGGAGTCTTTTACATTAGAACTTGGCGGTTCTAACAGTCATTGTTATGACCCCTATATATTTCGATAGTTATATTGTATGGCTGATTATTTTTCTTTTTAAAATTATATTATAAAAAGTGTATCAAAATATTAAGTGCAGATAAGTGTAATAATGTAAAAAATTCAATCATATGCAATGAATGTTTATCAATTAGGTTAAACCTAAATACTATTAAGCTCGCTTTTCGAATCCCCTCCTCGTTCCGAAGAACGCCTTAAGAAGGTATACAATGAAGGCATTTTGTATAGCATACAATTTCTACTTTTAGGAAATTATGCTCATTTCTTTTTTTTTTCCTTCTTTTTTTATTATTATTTTTATTATTATATTTATTTAAAATCTTAATAAATACCTGATTTTAAATGTATCTCAATGAAAAAGTTACAGTAGAATACGTATTTGTAAGAAGTCGAAATAAAATAGGTTATTTATATAAATGTTTTTATTAAGAATAAACATATTTGTTTTTTATTGAGAATGTAATCGTCAATTTATCGTTATATCTATTAAATACATACGTATTTATTTTTATACTTCAAAAAATGAGTTAGAAAGATTTATTGTTATCAAAGTTAATTTTTTATATTATGCATTTATATTTTTTATATTTAATATATATATTGTATTATAACATATAAATATTTTCTTTCATATAGTATACTAAAGAAGAAAATAATTCTTGAAAAACTTAAATAAGTGTTTTTCAGATAAATTTATCAAAAATAAACAAAATGTTAATAGTCTTTGAGTAAAATGAAGTACTCGAGCATGCAAGGAGATGTGTACGAGGTAGGAGGTTTGCCTCAAAACCGTCTCCCTGATAATTTGTATGAAAACATGATGACAGCTGCTAATGAAAACGTAGAATTGGCTTGTGAAAATTCTCATGAAGAAAGTTCTATGGTTTCTAATCTTCCACTTTTGTTTGCTGATGGTTATCCAACATCTTTGGAAAAAATAACATTGGTACATTAATATTTTCTTTAAATGTAATTATAGAATTGAAATTTAATATTTTTTCATATCCAAACATTTTTTTTACATTACAGACACAATTAGAAAATTTTATAACATTTATGGTTCAGTGTTCATTAGGACATGATTTTAATGAAGTTATAACTGAACCACAATGGTGGCCTAAAGAAGTAAAATTTTCTAATCCTTTAATACGACCTAAAAAGATGACAGATGTGAGTAAGATCATATTAAATTATTTTCAATAAGCATTAACTATAGTTTTAATTGTACATGATATTAACTGGTTTATTTTTCAGAATTGGATGGCAAATCTAAAGAAGTTAGTGTTCAGATGTTATACATATCACAAAAGTGAATATTTATTACGTTTTTGTTCATATCTTGCTCAATATCCACATGAAGAATTAGAATATGTTAATAATTGGGATTCCACTACTAGTTTGTATCATAAAAGTACTGGAAAACTTTTAGTAACATTCCGCAATGAGAATATGGTACTTATGCTTAGCCATTATCTTTTAATTAGATAGATTGTTGATTGATATTAATTATTATTATTTCTTTATAGAATTATGATAAAAAGAATGACAGTCCAAGAAAAACATTGCTCTTTCATAATGGAATTATATCCAATTTTGCAAATAAATCAAAACAACAAACACAATCTTTTATGATGGTTCAACCACCTTGTGATGACATATATCTTTGTGATAATTGTGATGCTGAATTTATAGGACTTGAAAAAATGAAGGTTTTTTGTTTAATTTTTGAAAAAATTTGTTATTTGTATAATTTACTAATTGAACTATCTTTAAATGTTGATAAATTCTTAATATACATGGACGCTTACTATTGTAATATTTTAGGAACATGAGCTGATTTGTTGTGAGCAACAATATCATGAAACTAACAGTTCACGTTCGACCACACCAGACTTATCCACCATAAAATCTGAATCAAGTCAAAATCAGTTTTTGGAATACTTTCAATTGTGTTCGAGAGAAAAAGAATGTAAAGCAATTGAATCAAATAAAAGTGAAGCAATTAATATGTGTATAGCAACCAGAACTTCACCCCGTGTTAGAGGATCAATTAATTTAACAAAATATCGAGCAATTCCATTTTCTTCACCTGCTGGTATAATATTGGCAAAAAAATCAAAGACAATGACTGAAGAAACACAGCAAGAACGATTAGAAAGAATAGAAAGACATGTACTTGCACCTCCCATAACAAGTTCATTTAGACCAAAATGGTTAGATAAAGAGGATGACCATGATAGGTGGTTAACAACATACAAATCCAATCGAGATAAACCAATTAATGACTATGTACATCAATATAAGTTCTCTGATTCTTTAAAAGGAAAGCCAAGTAAGTATATAATAAACATGAACTGTATACTTTTTAAAAGGTATGATTTTATAAATTTTTTCTTCCCCTAGTGTTGGATATAAATTCACAAATTCTATATGCTGCTTGTCGACCCCTTTATGTTATTCTCACGCGATTAAACCAAACACAAATAGAAGAGTCCAAGCGAAATTCTCTTAAACATTCAAGTTCTGCCATAAAACCATTATATAAAAAAGCTGGACCAGCATCGAAAACAAAATTAAAACAATATGAAACCAATTTGATGTTAAAATCTAAAATATCAGAAGAAACAGAACTTGAACCAATGATAATAGAAGAAGAATCTATGCCAACAACACAATTAAAAAGATCCGTTACATCTGTTAATTATTATTCTGAAAACAGATTTGTCAGTGAAGACAAAATAAAAGAAATGGTACCATGTTCAGTAACACAGAAATCAATTATGGTTATTGATCTTTGTTCATCTGATGAAGAAGAAATTTCGACCGTACATACATTTAATGAGAATCGGGACCCAATGAATTCTTTATTCAAAGAAAATTTATTACCAAATCTATCAACAAATAAAGTTTGTTCAAAAGCTTGCATTTATCCTGCAAATTCAACAAATCATTGGTTAATGCAAAATATCTTTAGTGAAGATAATGAAAACCACGTAAACAAATGTCACATTGGTGGTGTTTTAGACGCATGTATTCAACTTTCTCCAATACTAAGACCAGCACCATGAAACGTAACAAATAGGATATTTTAATTTTAATTGCATTATGTTATCAATATTTATTGTTTATTCTTCATATGAAAAATATGGTAACAAACAAATACTCCTTGTTATATCAACATTGATTCCACAATACTTTTTACAATGATAGTTTAAAGAATATATTATCACTTACAGCACTGGGGTATATATATTACAAATGTATATAATAGGAGTGATATTTATCATTATCCTGAATCATAAAAATTTTTTAATCATTGTAAAATTTTGTTACCTGTTTGTATAGAAAGTTAACAACGTAATATTGGAAAAAGTTTAAAAAAAAAAAAAAAAAAAAAAAAAAAAAAAAGAAAAAGGAAAAAAAAAAAGAAAAAAAAAGTACTAATTTCTTTCTCCGAACTAAGAAATGACATATAAATAAATTATTGTTGATTTCTGTTATACCATGATTACTTGTATATACAAGTATAGTTATATTATTATACAATAAGTGAATATTAAAAATGTACATAGAATAACGAGTAATAATAGCGCCTGATAATGATACTTTTTATTTTTCTCCTTATTTTATTATAATCAATGTTATTGTATGCACATTTTTGGACGTACCCGTTATGCGCTATTATTGTTTCTCGTTATGCTATTATTATTTGAATAAAGAATAGACTATTTATGAAGTTTTAATGAGCAACGATAATCTTAAACTTAAATAAATTATAAATAAATGTTAGTAAAAAATGAAAGGCAATCTCTTTAGAATTATTCATTAAAAATAACATTTAACAATAAATATTTTTATATTATAAAGACTGCTTAACAAATTATTAATATTTTATTTATTTTCATTAAATATATATTTTGTACATATAAAAACAAATAACATGATTTTTATTCCTGTTTTTCTTTAAATCCAAAAATCTTTTCTTTAAAGAGAGAAAATATTTGATCTCTCCAATCTTTTTCAATATGTTTCAATACTAATCGCTTTGTAGATATATTATGAAGCGGACCAAATGCTAGAGCAACTGCTGTGCATGCTAAACAGATTACATTATATGGCATACTAAAATCAGGAGTAGGAAGACTGATAAGTAAAGATTCCGTTCTCAATTGTACTAGATAACTATCTCGTGAGGCATTAAAGCTGAAATAAGCATTTGGTCAATTATAATAATAATACATTTTGTTATATATAACATATAATTTCATTAAGAAAGAGAGAGAGAGAGAGAGAGAGAGAGAGAGAGAGAGAGAGAGAGAGAGAGAGAGAGAGAGAGAGAGAGAGAGAGAGAGAGAGAGAGAGAAAGAAAGAGAGAGAGAGAGAGAGAAAGAGAGAGTATTGTATAGAAATATATACCTTGATGTTATAGTACTTCCATCAAGAGGTAAAGCAGTATAATTTCGTGCAATTGGTAGTAGTGCTGTAATAATTGCTGGACCCATATAAAATCCATGATTTGCATCAGGTGGATATTCTTGCCATTTTAAAAATAAGTATTCCATTTCTATAGAAAACTTCGTAACTGAATGAGGTGGTAAGCGTAAAATTAATTCTAAATAATATGGACTTATTCTTTCTTTTCCTGGCATGTAATGAAGTGCTACTGTAATTGTTTTTATAATTATAAATATTATAATCCAATCAATATTATTTTTAATTATACATATTTCAAAACAAAAAAAAAGTTAAAATAAAATGTATTTGTTAATCGTGTTGCATATGAAAATAATAATAAAAAATATAATGATATTATTAAATAAAAACAATAACAAATTGTCTTACATGGAATAACATTTTCCTCATTACAGGTGATTTTAATCGTGTGCAAATAGACTGATAAATACCATGGAATGTTTTCCAATAATACAATATTAAGTGCTTGCCAGTGATTATTATATATCTTTGTCACTAAACTACCTTTCTGTTGACCAGATCCTATGAAATGTACAATGAATATAAACTTTACTTTATGACTCATGATAAAGATTATAAAAAAATTTACACTTCTAAACAAAATATTTAAAAAAATTTTATATAAATAATGCTTATCTGTATAATATTTACTATTATAAATCATAGCAATAATCATAAATAGATACGAGCACATACCTATAATATATCTATTTGCATAAAGAATAGAAGGATAATTAACGACTGCATTCTTTGTTGTACTATGTTTAACAGCAATATTGAACATTCCTTCAGTAGAATGCGATCTAATATCATATATAGCAATATTATTCTGTTGTCCTCCACGTAAGCTTTTAAGTTTGACCGTGGGTGTAGGAATTATTTCATAAACATGATGCGACTTATTACTTGATATATCAACATATATGTTACTTATTGTTGTAAGAGGACATGAACCCTTAATTCCCATTCCAAAAAATTTTCTTATAGACCAATCCTATAATAAAAGCAATTAATCTTTTCTTAAAATCTTTATATTTATATTAACTTACCTGTGTATCTATCACATTATCATATATTAATGAAACTGTCTGTTGCAATTCTAAAAATGTATCTGTACAGGCTACATTACCACATATAGAGCGGAAATGTATTCCAAGAGAATGATAATTTGTATTATGAATGTATGCAGAATTTAATAGAGTTGCTAGACCTTTCTATAAAAATGAAATCATTTAGTAATAGTTTCGTTATTGAACATATCTATTATATATACTTTAAACAATACCTTGGAATTACATGGTAATAATTTTTTAAATGGTGTTAAATTTTCTGTGCAAACTATTTCTCGTGGTAGAGAAGAATAGCGCAAGTAAGTAGAGTTTGGAGTTTGTTTAACAACACCACGAGGACGAAAAGAAAACTTTGGTGATATACTATTGGCAGAATCAACAAAATTTAAAGAAGCACAAAGTAAACCTGACAGTGCATTAGTGAGTCCTTTCCATTCTTGATCGATACTATGCAACAGAAAAAAATATGATTTTATAAATTAATTATAAGACAAAATAAATCTCATAATAAGTAAATTATTCTATTTACTTAGAGACATCTTTATTAAACCAAGCATATATCTCAGCTCCAGGCCCAGCATCATAAAAAGGATACCCCCATTTTTGATAATTCCATAAACCTTGGGTCAGAGTTATATGTAATTCATCTATTTTATGACGTCCTATAATTTCACCTAATCCTCTTGGAAATAAATGTGAGTGATAAACTGAAATATATTTTATGTATTTGCTTTAAAATTACACATATTTGTATAAAAATGTACAAATAAAGGGGACATGAAAGATTATAAAACTTTACATACATGATTTTGGTGTATTCGAGGATTTCCATATCGTTGTAAATTGAAAATAAGCATAAACATGACTGCTTGGTAAAGGTTTTAAGAATAATTCTTCGTCGAAAGAATCAACATGCGTATGAACGTTATTTATTATTCCTAATAAAACATTAATACCAATTAATAAGTATACTTTTGACGGCTTCATACTTTTCTATCATTGACAGTTTTAAATAAATGGATGAAATACAAGTTGAGCCAAAGTCCCTAAGATGGGTCAAAAGTTCCTATGTCTTTTTAATAATCAATTACTCTTTTTTGAGACTTTTTATATTTGTAGTTAGATTCATAATCGTACAATCTGAAAAAAGGGTATACTAATAACATATATACAGTACTACATATATGATTAATATTTTATATTCAAACTAATATCGTATTTCGCGACAGAGTCAATAAACGACGTATATATGTATTTTCTTAGCCTATTTTAATTAATATTTTGCCTACTTTATACTATGTATAAATTTTTTTAATGGTTATTGATATTACGAAAATATAGATTAAAAACGACATAAAAGTTTTACTGTTTGCTACACTATTGATCATTTATCAGTTAATCATTGATTAAAATTAATCGAGATTGGTTGAAATGGCCTAAATTACAATACTTAACAATTTTGATAAAATTTATATCAAAGATTAGAGGGTATTAAATATGATAGATCTGTGAGATATCAAGAGTTTTAACATATTTTTCAAAAATTACATTTAAAGTTTGATATTTTTATATCGTTTAAACAAGTCCAAATTACATAAAATGAAAGAACTTGATACGTTGCATACGTGTAAAAGTATTATTTACTATTTTTCTTTTTTTTTTTTTTATATCAATAGTTTTATTATTAATTAATCTTTTCTTTTGGATCTTTGTGGTATTATACACATTATAGAATTTCTACAATTTTTCTAACCAAAAAAAGTATTGTTCAAGTAGTCGGTACTAGTACTCCATGTCGATTTCTATTTAGGCGGTTTATTTGAATTTTCTTCTTACTTCTTTTATTTCTTTTTATATAAAATTACATTGTATATTTGTTTAAAATAATTTTGAATTATTTTAATAAAATTTAATCACAATTTTCTATGCAGATAATCCTTCATTTTCTATTTATTTGTTGTATCTGCGAAAATCTTTATATAGGAACGTGAGATTCTAGAATGAGTTGTGACGATCTTAACCAAGCTTGAGTAAATCTTCAACTAGGAAAATTATCAAGTTATATAAGTAAATTTATAAAAATTAGGCCAAGTATTAAAGTTGTAGGATGTTCGTGTTTTTGTCTCGAGGCCGAGCTTTTGCGATGCTTATTTAACCGCACGTATCATCGAAGTTACCTTCGAAATATAATATTTCTCAGAAAAGCGGTGCTTTGCACGAGAACATACGATTTGATACTTTTTCTTAGTTCGTTCAATTGCAGTCTGTTAATTGCATTCACTCGTTCGTGATAATAATTAATTAATTAATTTCGTGGTAGAACATTTTTGATACTTTTTCTTACACACTTTGATATTTTATACACGAGAATGATCTATATCGATCCTTATAATATAAGCGGTTTTGTTTATTTATGAAGTTTTTAATAAACTGACATATATGCATTGTAATCAGGCAATAATCAATAAATTACGTTGGAAAAAAGAATTAAAATTAGTGAGCAATCGATTTTCAATCACTTTACCTTATATATTTAAATAGTTATAAATGTACATATTTTAATGGAAACGTAAATGAACTATATAAAAAATGTGATTGTTTACACAAAATAATGTTACTAAATTATCATTGTTAGAAACTACTATTGCACTCTATTTATTATTTATTAATAAATATATTCATTGAATTGCGTTTGATATCTTAATCAGCAAAATAACTTACACTTATTAATTTTCAACTTGATTTTATTCACTAACTAATACTACCATTTAACATTTAATCAAAGAGATTCACATAAAACTTTGCGAAATAAATGCTATTTGTGGAAATTTTTCTTTGCACGATTTTCTTTGCACTTTCCTTTTCATTCTATTTATCGTTAAACTTATAGATATTTTCAGAATATACAAAATGAATATATAAAAATATTTTAATATCACGAATCACAAGTTTAAAAAGGGTTACCTTTTGACATAAAAATCTAAAGCTTTGGTCCATTCTTTGTTTAATTAAACACTTAAAGTTCTTTTAAAAGATAATACATACAGGTACCTAAATTTTTAAATAAAATAATTATAAATAAATGGTATAATGTAAAATATGAAAGTGAAATATGACTAAAGATTTTCATTTTTTTACAATATTGGTAATATGTTAAAAATGAAATTTGGATTTTGCATTTATAGTGAATCACTTTCTCTTACTTTATAGAAATAAACATGAAATTGCTTTAAAAAATATTTATAGCAACAAATATCTTAGTTGTTAAGTCTAGAGTTTTTTTTTTATGATATTCCCAATAAAGTTATGATTTGATTTGTTATAATGATACAATCATAACTTTATAACTTGAATAAGTTTGAAGAATGATAATTTAGCGCCAGGCTAATTATTTTTTTGTTTTCTTTTTTTATCTTTAACATTATATATGTTAGGACTTTTATCTAGTTGATCTTTTTTGTTAGTGTGTCTTTTGTCTTGGACTTCGTTTGCTGATGTAGTTCGTTGTATCATTAACAGATGCATTATTCTCAGAGGCATCTGAAACATCTTCACTGCTATTACTTCGTATATCACCTTCCATCTGTAACATTTTTTTAATAAATACAAAATCAAGTTGTATCATTGCCATTCATTGTAATTTTCTCTGTAAATTTAAAGTTCTAAATTAATGTAATGAATGTCATATACGTGTATAGAGTTACACAATTTAAAATTTGATTTATTGTTAACATTATCAATCACAATGTAGAGAATGCTGTAATCTAAAAAATTTAATGGTGTAGTTAAATTTATGGATATGTACCTGACCAGCATAGAAGGCATTGTATGCTATCTTAATAATAACATAAGTCCAAATCGAATGAAGCAAAAGTAGGAGACACAATAATGTATTAAACACATAATATGCTGGGAACATTGGCACTATTTTAGGTGCTTCAATCAATGTACTAAAACAAAAAAAAAATAAATATTTTTAAATGTATCAGCTTCAATCTAAAAAAAATTATAAAAGATTTTAAAGTTACCTATAAATTATCCAAAATGGAAAAATACCAACACGTGTAGAAATCCATAATATTGTGAAAATAACAAATACGAAGTCACAGAATTTTTGATAATTGGCATATTTTGCCATTTTTGCCACCTACAAAAAATAAAATATATCGTGTCTTGTACCAAGCGAAAAACATGATTGTACCAATTATCTAATTATTAATATATATTTATAATCATAATATATACAATAAAATGTTTATAAAAAGTAATGAAATAAGAAGAAAAATAAAGATATTCAAAGAATATATTACACTTACTTCTAGGAATATATCAGCAGAATCATGTACTAATAAGACTAATGAACCGATTCTTGTTAAATTTGCGACCCATGAGAAACACAATAAAACAATAGTCACTATATGATGAACGAACATTTGCCAAAAATCTTTTCTTTTTACATCGAAGAATTGTGACAAACTCAATGACCAGTAAAATGCCATAGATATCATATAATACCACCACACATCATTAGTTACCGAATGATATGGATAGTTATAATAACATTGTTTTATGTCCCATAGCCATGGTTTATTCCATAAAATAATAAGGCCATAAAAGAATGAATATGTATAATATGAACACCTCCAACTAAAATTAAAACATGTTATTATGTAAATATTTTATTTAAATATAAAGTATATATAATCTATATACATCTTACTTGTTTTCGCAGAACTTTGTTAAAGTAGATGGTTTGTCTTGAGAACGTCTGAGTCTAAGCCACCTTTCTATTTGTCGTTCCGAACAATCCAATTGCTTAGCTAAAGCTAATATCTTAAAAATACAATTAATTATTAATATAAATATATACTATTTAATTTTTTAAAAACTGATTTTGATGAAAAAATCTACCTGTTTGTGTTTTATTTTTTTACTACTATAAGCTTTCTCCAAAATTTCATTCGGCGGTGCTTTTTTTGATCTTGTATTTTTTATACCAAGCGATTTGCCAAAGGGTGCAAAGCAATACCTGTACAAAATAAATATAAAAGTATTAGTAACTAAATCCTATTAGTATATAACTAACTAATAAGTACGGAATGATCCTTGGGATTCTATATATAAACTATAGAATGATAAATAAAAATCGAGATATTGTATAATGTTTATTGTCGTATATAATTTATATTGAATTATTTTCTAATCAAATCAACAATTAATGGACATAGAGATAATTAAAATTAAGATAATTAAAACTCTTACCTTTCAAGAGTATATCTCATAACCAATAGAATTAAGGCCATTGGCAAGGGAAATATTAAATGCTGATAATCAGCATATTTGTTTTCTGAATTCGGTTTAATATCATCCCATGTTATATTGGGCGGTAGCCATATGTCCGGTGACCAAAATGTCGACGATATATTCATTAAAGTGTTCATTATCAATTATTTTCAAAATGTATTTATTTTTAGTAATCGATATTTATTGTAGATTCGATAAATTATTCGATTAAAAAAATTATCTAATAATCCTTTCTTATAATGGTTTTTTCACTTGACCGCACTGCAAACAACTTTATCCGTCTTCGGTGTGTATCACGCCACCACGAAAATATATAATGAATATTCATTAAAAGAATTAAAATCCGTGAATTTATTTTTAATAGCTACACTATTGTTACTCTAATGAAAAATAAAAAATTTATCGTCGAGATCTGTTTAATGTTTCATATACACTTATAATAAATCATGTTAAGTGACAAGATTGAAAATCCGTTCGAATCTGTTAATAATCTAGAAGTTATAGAAGTTTTTGGTATGAGAACTATAGAAAAAACAGTACTGATAAACCGTTATCTTTTCTTTCCCTCGTTTCTTTTCTTGTTTGCGAAGAAACAATGCTCACGATGCATCCACAAACGATGATATCTAGTGAAATAAAATTAAATTCGAAATTCTATTTTCTTTTTTTTTTCTTCTTTTTTATCACAAAGAATTCATCAAATTACAACGTATTACATGCCATTTTCAAGATTTATGCTTACGCTAAGAAAACTTACAAACCAGACAAGCAATTCCTAAAGGTAGTACCTTCAGAAAAATTAGTTTTGAGATAAAATTCTTCGATAAGTTTGTTTACGTTGTTTACACTTGTTAGAAGGATCGTATGATAGCGAATATTTCTTTTTTGCAGTAGCGTATAACGGAAGAAAGCAGTAATGTTCAGAACACTGCCTTAATTCCTTTTATTAGTTACAAACTGCTTTTCATCGCGGTAAAATGCCTTGAACATGTAAAAGCAATATTTAATTTTTTCGAATAACATTTTATAGGATTTTTTCGTAGATACTTGCTTTTTTAATTGCATGGTAAAAAAATCAATCCAAATCAAATTAGAGAGAAATTTTTTGAAGACTATAACGTTACATATTGTCTTTTGTCATTACCGTACATAAAAAATACATCTTTCATTCTCGTGAAGAATTTATTGTTTCTATATTTGATAATTTAATTGTTTAACAAATAATCGTTAGATTTTAATTCAAATTTATGATCTCTTTGCATCTACATACATATGATAAGATCACAAATCAATTAATATTAAAAAATGTATATTTGTATTTATGAATACGAACTATTTTAGAACATACTCAGATCTAGTAATAATTCTACAATTGTACACTCTTGGACAAAAGTAATATGATCGTAATAAAAAAAAGTGGTTCCGTGTATCAATGTGTTCACAGTGCTGTCGTAAGAATTTTAGGAACCCTTGTCTTACACCTAACCTCTACTTGTTATGTGACAGTATGCGATTTAGAATTTCCATTAAGAAGTTATATTTTTGCTCATTTTATTACTTATATTGTTAAATAAACAACATTACATTAATTTCTAATGTTCCAACAAGTATTGAAAAATGATTATATCTCGATTCATCGGCAACGATTTATAGCTCACACTGGTACAGTCATTTTCAATGTACATACATTTATGTCGTTAAAGGTACAATATACAAGTTACGAGAAACGCGCAAATGTCAGTTGCACGACTCAGTATAGAAGTATAGGTATGTGACCGGGCGTTATCAGACAAATTGAAATAATATTTCGTATTGTATATCGACGTAATCAAAATTTCGAGGTAGATTTATAATGGAAGGTCAGCAGGTATGTTAATAAATCGGTACCATAAAGTTAATTAAGCCATTGTCAAAAGTTCAATTAACTATTGTTCTCTTTTTTATGAGTCATACTTATTTATGATGATTAAAAATATTTTTTACGATATAGAGTAAATATTATAAAATCTGTACATTTTTTTTCTTAGGTAAGAGCATTATATGATTTTACTGGTGAGTCAGGAACAGCTGAGTTGTCTATCGTCGCAGGAGAAATTTTAACTGTCATGAGAGACAATGTTGGCGATGGATGGTGCGAGGGATTCAATCAAGGTGGAAAATCTGGCCTTTTCCCAGCGGCATATGTGCAAGTGATAGAGTCTTCTGCTCCCGTGTCGAGTATGATAAAATAAAGATGTAGTTTATACATAACTATTGAGGAATATTGTTCTTAAATTGTTACAGTTTGTAAAGATATTATCTTTAGTATTTAATATTATTATTTACTAGGTAGTATGACAATGTCGCAACAAAGTTCAGGAGATTACTGGGATGATGATTGGGATGATGATTCAGAAGTTGGTCAAACACAAGCATACGTTCCCGTTACAAGTCAGCAGCAACAACAACAACAACAAGCTATGCATATAGCACTCCAATCCAATAGCACTGATAGTGGAAATTCTATCTCAATTCATACTATACATTCTGTGATACCTGAAAGACCTATATCTAATGTACCAAAGAAAAATAATAAGTTTTCTACTCTGATTAAATCCGGCGAAGATAGTTTTTTATTAGGAACAAGAGTAGCGAGTGTACCAGAAAGTGAGAAGCTTCTTATCAAAGAAACTGAAGATGGACGTTGTGCATGGGTACCAACGGGAGAATCATATAGTTGTGTTGTTACATCTCCTAAGAAAGAATCAAAACTTAAAGGTCTTAAAAGCTTCATCGTATATCAATTAACACCTACGGTATGTTCAACTTGCACTCGTTTTTTTATATATTTTTTTGTGTATTTTATGTATTTTTTTAACTGATCTTATTTTAATTCATCCAATTTTTTTTCAAGAAAAGATTTAACGCAATTTTTTTTTTTATTACAGTTTAATAATATTCAAGTTTCAAGAAGATATAAACATTTTGATTGGTTACATGAACGTTTAGAAGAAAAGTATTGTTTCATACCAGTTCCACCCTTACCTGATAAACAATTATCAGGGCGTTATGATGAACAATTTATAGAACATCGTCGTACACAATTACAAGAATTTGTTGATTATGTTTGTCGTCATCCTGTGTTATCACGTAGCCGAGTATGGGATCACTTTATGATTTGTACCGATGAGAAGAGATGGAAAGCAGGAAAACGACTAGCTGAAAAAGATGAATTATTAGGAGTGAATTATTTTAATGCCATCCAATGTATTGATACGCCTTTAGATGCTATCAAAGTAGAAATTCAAACAGATGCATTTAGTAGATATATAAATGGTTTAGATCCTGTTGTCAAAAATTTCATGGCCATGGCTGTTGATCAAGCCAAAAAGCACCAAGTACTTTATAAAAGAGAATTTCAAAAAATTGGTATTTCTTTTTCTTCATTAGGACATGCTTTAGAAGGAGATGATAGCAATCATATGAGATTGACTAATGCATTAAAAGCAACAGGTGAAGCATACAATGATATTGGTCGTCTCTATAAAGAACAGCCAAAATTTGACTGGGAACCACTTGCTGATAAATTTCATATTTATAGAGGAATTATCAGTAATTTTCCTGATGTTATAAGTATACATAAGGTATGATTCCTTTCTAACTTAATTTAAATCTAATTTTTTTAAATAAAGCATTAATTATTATTTATTTTGTGATATTTCATTAGAGTGCAGTACAAAAAAGGAAGGATTGTGAAAAATTAGTTTTAGAACATAAAATGGAAACACACCAATTGCGTGAAATGTCTCACCGAACAGATATAATAGCACGCGCATTAATGGCGGAAGAGACACATTTTCAATCTGAACGTGATATACACATTAATAAAGCTATGAAAACGCATTTGCAAGAACAAATTTCCTTTTATAAAAAAATTGTAAATAAATTAGAGGAAGCATTAAATGCATATGTAGACTGAAGCAGGTACTAAAAATATGACTATGCTAATATTATATACCTTTCCCAGGCACAACTTAACGATTTTGATACATGATCATGACGCTTGTTTATAAATTCATTATATTCGATTATTTATGCACTCACAGTAATAAGAAATTTAATCACATTTTCTCAATACAATGTTAATCAGAATGTTTCAGAGATTTTATTAGAAAAATATAGAGGGGCCAAATGTTATTATCACGTATGTTATGATAAGCAAAAAAATTATTTGCAATATGAATATCTGCGATATGAGTATTTATATTTTAAAAATATAATTAATTTAATAATACTATTCTCGAATAATGTTTGAGAAAAAAAGAGATTCAGTTTCATCAAATATATTTATATTAACATATTTTTCTATATATAGAATGCATTTTTAAAAAAATAATATCAATTACCGTGACATTTTAATGTTAATTTAGTATACTTTGTATTTAAGTTAATTTTAATTTATAAAGAACTTCAATTTTAATACAATGAGTAAGTAAAATTATATTATTTTGAATTATATATTATAACAATTATTAATATTCACCTTTTAATTCAACCTTTATTAATATTAAAAGATTAATAATAATGATTATGTTTAAATATCAGGTATTTGAAAATGTGATTATATATACAACATTTACAAATCTTTTTTCCTTTCACCTCTATATTTGCATCTCATAGCAATGAATATAGAACCTGTATTATATAAAAACTCATAAATTTTAAGAAAATGCTATTGTAAAAGTATGTATAACATTACTAAAAAATACTTTGTACAATATAATACATATGTGAATATATTTGAAATATTACATAGATATTTTTAAATGGCTGCTAAATAATTTATGTCTGTGATTGAAATAAATATAAATTTAACAATTCAATAGGCACACACAATCAATCTATTTAGTTAGCAACTAATTATTGGAATAAATGCAGTTAATTAATGTTTAAGTAACTTTATTTCGATTTCATACAATTATTTATTCAGATAAAAATATTTATATTTCAAATCTTAGAAAAAGCTATTAGTATAGCTATTAGTATAGCTGAATAGTAGAACTATTCAGTACTTCTTGTACTAAAATATTCTTAAAAAGTTAACATTAGAATATTGATTTTTTACAGAATACAATTTTTTTTTTACATCAGCACTTTATGATCAAATAAAAAAATTAAGAGATATACTACTTCTATCTGTTTTATAGTGTATCTTTATAAAAGCAACTAATATTTGAAAATGATTATCTCTGAAATTTATGTAATATTATATAATTTTATAATGACAACAACAAATGTATAAATAAACATAGCAGCTAAAACAACTTATTTCTAATCAAGCAGAATTATTAACACATTTTCTATTAATTGTACAAAATAATAATGTAGTTTATTTTTAAGCACAAAGTTATGTATGTAATCTTTATTTGTCAATGCCAATGAAAATATTTTCATTCTTGTAGGTATAAATGAATGTAATAAAAAATATATGTTATATTAACATAACATATTATAATGTATTTTCATCACAATATAAGTATAATGATGAACATTAATAAATATTATTAATTTTATGCATATATATTCTAGATATATTAGTTAAGAAATGAAAATATCTTGTCGATGAGCTTTGATTAAATATTACTTTTTGAATATATTTACAAATGTAACTCTCAGTTGATCCGTTTAAAATAATAATAATGTAAACCAATATAGACAGTATAGTATTTTATACACGAATGTAATACACTACAAATCACACAATTAAATTTATCTTTTTTTACCTTTATTTATATCAATCGTTTTTAGGATTATGTAATGAAAACAACCAAACACATTATTTCTAATAATCGATAGTATTTGCTCTAGCAATGTTTTAATAATTAGTTATGTATTTTATATAATAATAATTAGTTTCAATATAACTTATAATTTACAATTATTTAAACGTCATTTAATCTTATATGTTTCATTAATCTTGTTTATATCTTTATTTTTTGTTTAGCATTTATGTTAGTTAACAAGTTAAAATTTGAACTTTCTTTTTCAACGGAACAAGTATGTCTTAAATTATTATTCTGAATTATTATTCCATAAGGTAGGAAAGATCTTAATATTTGAAGAGAGTTAAATTTATAAATGAGGATACAAATAATATTTGTAATAAAATATGTTAATATATAATATAATAATTAATGATAAGGTTGAAATATTTTCTTTGCAATGTAATCAATTTGATATTAGTTTTATAATTGTATTTTTCAGTTATTATATTTATACATATTCATAATGCGTATTATGATATATATATATATGTTAATTAAGAAAGAAAATATATTTCTAAAATGCTCGTTTTTATTATAGAGCGATACTCAGCCATTTTGATGGCAAGTTCCATTAAGAATGATTAAAAATTGTATACATGTGGTATTAATGAAATACACAAGTTCTTAAACGTTATGTAATTTGAATTTATTACTTCCATATGTTGTATTATATTTGTTTAAAATATTATTCTTTTTATAAACTTGAAGTTTTTTTCACAGAACAAGAAACATCACCTGATTCTATAGCACAGCAATAATTTTTTGTTTTGATTAATATCAAAGTATTTTATTTGCAGATAACCTCTCTTCAATTCAGTCATTCTTTTTGATACTGCATGTGCATATTATAAATACACATACATAACATGTATTTTTCGCAACAATTTTTATATGCATCTCTTTTATGTCATTTAAACGATTAATAGTTTCAAACATGAATTTTGATTTTTTGTAATTAGATAATAAGTTCTTTAAAATTTACGATAATATCATTATCACAAGAGGCACACATACATTGCACTTTGCAGATATTATTTATGAAAAAGTGTGATTGCATGAGCATAATTAAAACATCCCAAATAAAAAAGGTGAATTTCTCAATTTGTCTGAGAAGATAAAATTGCAAACATCTATATTCTGAAATTTTAGATATTATTGTATATGTGGTAATTATAAATAATCTATTAATAAGATACAAATACAAACACACAAGTTATTTTTACAACATTTACATGAGCTATGTAACATTTTATACATTTTCGTTAGAATATTATTTTTAAGAGTTTTGCATGTAGATTATATCATACAAATATTGCAGAAAGTATATTATCCAAATACTAAAAGTTTGATGAATAAATAAATCAAAATATGCAAACATTTATTATAATTTAATTTAGTTTAATTTAGATGTTGCTTTATAATAACTTCCCGAAAATAAAGTTTTTTTATAACTTTTAATATAATGTATATATGAACATATATAATAGCATAATAAATTTCACATTATAATATATATATGTTGTTTATATTTGTATCTTAAAATTATTGAAAAGTATGCATGCATATGTATATCTATGTATTTTATTTACATATTTTTTTTTTGTAAGACAGTGTGAGATAGATTAAAAATATTAGTATTATTATAATCTCATATGCATACATGCATGTGTCTGTGTGCACTTTTATTAACGCGGGTAATGTCTTTGTTGCTGCTTAACGTAACGAATGCTTCGTATCATTAAACTAATACACTAGTATCACCACATAATATACTTAACATGTATGGAAAAAAAAAAGAAAAAGAAATCAATTTCATATACCTATTAATTAGTGTAAACAATTTTAATTTTTCCTTTTTTTCCCGTAAAATATAACATATCCACGCAAAAGCTTGGAAACTAATTACTATGTACGTATATCTGAAAAATTGTTTCCAAAAATCTTAGCAATTTTTTTTAAAAGGATATTTGTTTGTCTATCACGATTTCAAAAGTACTTCCGTTAGACGTAAGTACTTAATGTACTTTTCACAGCATGCGATTAATCTTGGCAAGAGAATTACATGCATCTCTACAATTATTTCCAAACTATAAACTATTAGAAAAAGTACACTTTTATAAACTCAAATTTGCAATAAGTCAAGTGCACACACGGGGTTTGTTTGACAATCATACATAATTTATATATAATGTAAAATCATTTTTCTCATATAAGCAATTACTATAAAAGAATTATACGCGTATTGCCTTGATATATACAAGATTAGAAAATAAAGTATTTCGTTCCTTTTAGGACACGTAAAGATATACAATAAGAAACAGATCCTCAAAGTTTTATCATTGTTCAAGTACAATTCTGTAAGAAATATTTAATATTATCGATATAGAACAATAAATTTTATACATACTTTACGTACGGATAATGTTTGTTATAAATTAATTATTTATAATGCGATATTAAAATAAAATAATAAAAATATCTTGCACATATATTGTATAATATTAAATACAATTCTTTCGAAACATGTTTAATACATTTATATTACACAGAATTGTTTTGAACAATAAATGTTCATTATAAATCTCAGATTTTATAAAAGATTAAACATTTATCGTTGTACTGTTCACCCGATTTTTAATGATTAATCAATTCAATCTAGTTAGGTTTCATAAATCATACATATATACTGTTAGATTATTAACGAATTATAAGACTTTTTAGGGGGTATAAAATCAATATATTGAATCATATAAAAATTTATGTGGAGAACAATTTCTTCTTATATATCTCTTGAGATAATTCGTTAATTTCATTTAAATCATTTAATAATGTTTAACACAATAGCGTTTAATATTTATATACAAATATTTTTAAAAATCAAGAAAAAAAAGGAAATAATTATCCCAGTTTTTAAAAAGGCAAGAAACAGTGTGTGAAAACTGTGATTCATCGTGCAATCCATTAATTTGTATACTATACATAATCAGCATTTCACTATGTCATAGGAAATTGTAATAAAGCATTTTAGCTTGAGGTAATATAGCTCTTTCACACCTTGTAAATAATGATTACAAAGCGTTATATTTCATTGACATTAACTTCTAGAGAATGTTTAGCATTGAGATTCAACTTTTTTTATATTTCCTTTGTTTCCTAAGATACGAGACATTCACTCGAAAAAGAGTAGAAAGAGCAGTGCGCGTACTGCCCCATAATTTAAAGCGTTTACTGCGTAAGTATAATGGAGAGCTAGGAGTAAGTGGAATGGGAGAGGTTGGCAAAGCCACCAAGTTTGGTGTGGACAATGATGGCTCAAGAATATCCTTCAATTGAGGTTGTTTGGAGGTCCCAGTGGTCTGTGCTGATGGTTGCTGGGATTGGTTTGCGATTGATCGGGACACGGCGTGAGGTTGCCGCTGCAAGGGCCTGATCCTGGGCCCTGTTGCTGCTGGCCGCTGTTGAGTGCCAGTCTCTGCATCTGACGTATGACCGTGGTTGCATGATACGCTTGCTGGAACCATGAGAGAAGAGGGAGACTTTCCTACGGAGCCTGGTGAGCAAACATATGCACAATCAGGAATTTGCTGATTATACATCCATACTAACCTTCCACTTCGATTTGGCAAAGTTCTTTTTAAGTTGTTCAGATACAGTACCATGGATATTTTTATTGCTAGCTGCGTTTCCAGAAATCCTAGAAAAATGAATTATATATCAAGTTAGATAAAACACCTAAATGTATAAAATTGTATTATATGATTTAAAATTATGTTATATGATTCATATGTTATATGATTCAAAAACTTAGTAAAGAGATAATATTATTTAATAGGCTATTTAAATTTAAATTATTATTTTTATCTGAGATGTCTTAATAATATATTAATTAAATAATTATCATTTTAGTAATATTTTTTCTTTTTTCCATTTGCATATTAAAACTCTAAAAGTTATTAAGGACATTATCATTAAACAATTATTAATCATAAGTCATCACAGAGAATAGAATTTTATTACTTACTTAATTGATATTAATTAAATATTATTTGATATCAATAATATTCCTGTAATACTCTTCTTTATGAAGTCAATATATATTTTACATAATCTTAAATAGTATCTACAGTTATATTACAATTTGTATTATAGAAAATATAAAATTGTTTTAAAAATTACATTTATTTTATTTTTATTTTAGTTAATATAAAAATTTATTCTATTTTGTAAGTTATATCTCAAATAGAAAGTTATTAATCTATATTAATATATATTCTTACCAAGGATGTGCTAGGGCCTGTTTGCATGTATAGCGTTGCTCAACATTGACGCACATCAACTTGTGTATGAAATCCTTAGCTGAATCACTGATATCGTCCCAGTATGGTGAATCAAATTCAAATTCACCTATAACAGTCTGGTTAGCTCCTTGCTATAGAGTAGACGATTTTGTGACAGTATAAGTAGAGCAAATGTATAATTTGTATGGGAAAACAAAAACAAAAGATAAGTTCGAAAAAAAAAGAAAGATAAAAAGAACTGTTTATCTTGATTCCCTCATAATTAGTGTCCGTACGATTCCTAGTTATTTATAATTTCATTTTTTAATTTATTTCGATTAATTAAAAAATGCTACTATGTAAAAATAATCCCTTGGAGATATATTATCCTAACATGAAATATCCATATAAACAAGCACAGTACTATGGATGCACACGTGTATAGTGTATTTTCATCATACACGCGTATATTGTATAGTATCTGCTACATAATTTTATATGTAACAGAATTTATTGATAAAATTCTGGTTAATTATGGAAATGTTTCTAGATAATGATCATTTGTCACCAAAGGAATAATAATTGACAATCAAATATAAGGACTCAGACGCACACAGAAATTTCATTACTTACTACGCTAGTATGTATTAAAGCTGCATACGAAAACTAGAATAGTACCTTAAAAATGAAAATTTCAAATTAATGTATTACTTCATGTGCTTGTCAGTCCTAAGTGTTACAATTAATCTGAATATCTGACGACATTGTCTCTTCTTCGTTGTCTAAAACAATATGTATATGTATACATCCATTTTTATTACCTTTTAGAATCTGTGCAAAGAGATTGGCATCATTTTCATCATAAAATGGAGGGTATCCGCATAAAAGAATATACGAGATGACACCTATACTCCAAACATCAACTGCTTTACCATATGGCTTCTGAGCAAGTACTTCAGGAGCTGTAAATAATAATCTTAATAGTAAACTTGTATGAAATTAAAGAAGAAAAGAAAATTATAAAAAGATAATTATCTTATTTACATACCAACATATCCTGGTGTACCACAAGCAGTGGCCATTATTCCTGAATCTTCCATTTTTGATAAACCAAAATCACTAATCATAATCTTACTATCTTCATCTGGACTATAATATAAGAGATTTTCTGGTTTAAGATCTCTATGAACAACACCTTGTTCATGCATATAATCAACTGCTTCTAAGACTTGTCTTATTAAACCTGAGGCATCTTTCTCTGTATAGGAACCTTTCTCAACTATTCTGTCAAAAAGCTCGCCGCCAGTAACTCTGTAACACAAAATAAATATGATTAATATATTATCTATAGTTAACTTAATCATTATATCAATATTCAAAAATTTACTATATAACTTACAACTCCATAACTAAGTACACTTTAATCTTGTCTTCATAAGTTTCCAATAGCTGTACTATATTAGGATGTGTTAACCTGTAACAACCATATTTAGTTTCATTTTATCTCTTCTTATTAAAAACTGTCTCTTATACATTTTAAATATTTCTCTTAAATATAATGATTTGACTTGTTTGTTTTTTCTTTTGCATTTTTTTTTCTTTTTTTACATTGATTATAAGATTCCAAAAGTACTACATATTTTTCTTATCTTTATGACAGTTCTTATATTACGATAATACAATTTTTTTGCAAATCTTAATTCTTCAACAATTTATTATTCAGCTAAAGATATAGAGTGCTAATATATTAATTCCTGATCATAATACTTGATAATAATGATCTGACTATAGTATATTATATTTTTAATAAAATAGATATAAATATTGTCCATCACATCACATGCTGTATTACAGCTATAGGTATTACTCTCCCAAAAATGTATATGAGCATTTTCACAAAATACTACTGATGTTAGCAAAGCAGAAAACTTCATGTGTGTATATACATATACATATACATATACATATACATATATATATATACATATATATATACATATATATATACATATATATACATATATATATATGTATATATATATATATGTACACGGTTCTATAAAATAAATATGGCCACAAAATACAGCAAACAATAATTTTAGCATATAAAAAGGAAAAAAGCACTAACAACATTTACAACAATTACGGATATATTAAAATAACATTTTTATCATAAATATTTAAAATATTAAAAATATAATTCATTAAGTACATATACTTACTTTTTTACTAATAATACTATATACACAACATTAATATTACATTTTTATTATATGTACTATACATGAAATTAATTAATAATGAAAAAAAGAAAAAAACAAACTTTAATTATAATGATTATAATATCAATGATATACGCATGTTTTTTTGTTGCCTGAACACAAATTTCCTGGAAGTGAGTTTTAAATTTAAAAAGTAGACATACAACTTTTTTATAAATTAAACCATCTGGTTGAAATATAAGTTAATACTTCTAATGCCTTTTACGTAAAAACATTAACGTATATAATAATATTTAATATTTACAAAATCTACAAAATTATTTCAAAAAATACTAACAATAATGGAAATATATATCGTTTTTAATACACTGAGAATATTTTATTACATCTATACATATATAATTGTAATTAAATTGATAAAGTATATAAAGATTAAGTTCATAATAATAGATAAATGTGAACCAGGGAAAGGTTATATATATATAAAAAAAGTAAAAAGATAGATGGTTCAATCTAAATAGAGATAAAAAAAGAAATTTAGATAAAGAAGAATTTAGAAAATAGAAAATAGGTCGAGATAAAGAGAAAGTAATTAAATGACTAAGAAAGAGAAAAGTTATAAGGAAAGATATAAAATAAAAAAAAGTGATAAGAATGAAAAAATGTTAATTATATAGGCTTATATGTTCTTTATATAAGCCTATAACTAATCAATGAAATATTTTACTACCACATAATTGTAATTATATAAAATTAAGATTTAACTACTTTTTTGTACTTCTTTGATGTGCAATATGTCAAATAAGAAAATTGTGCTCAGTTTTTTTTTTCTTTTTTTCTATATATATAAATTTATGTGAGCAAGATGTAAATTGAATTATAGTAATGTATGATATTGTTGAATGATACAGGAATTGAGTCACATAGGCAGTTGGTGCCCAAATAGAGGGCCCACACTTACCATCCTGTTTCGCCACTACTATCCGACTTGAGGAGTCCAGCACCACTCTGTGGTGTCACTCTTTCACTGAACCTACGAAGTATAACAATATCACACAAAATTATATAATGTACATTGAAAGTAACTGATAGCTTGCTCAAACTTTCTTTTTCCAGACTTTTCTTGAGTTTACTTTGTGCAGAGATCCTTTTATCCAAGCAGAATGTGGTCAGATAATCAAATGCATTGTAGAAAAGAATTATAATTTATGTAAACTTTATAGAAAAATTATATATTTGAAAAATATATAAAATTGTATATTTTGCATCAAAATAGATTTCAGTTATATATGTATGATGTACATTACTTACTGTTAGTAGAAAAAAAAGTCTCAAATGATCCAGCATATAATGTGATGACATATAAGATATCAAATTGGATTTATACAGGGTAGTTCATGTTATTAGAACTATTTCATCAATTTTGTAACTATTCATTCTAATAAAAAACTAGTTGAGAATCTAATTAATATCATATCTATGTGACTTTCTTTAAAAATCTATCTGTTTACTCTGAAAGTCTATTTTTTATAAAATTAATATTGATATCATTATCAAAATAAACTACTCTGTATTATCACAAAAATGTAGTGCTTAAAAATGTGACATTGTAATTAGTAACTTGCATTTTCTATCTATAAATTGTGAATATACTAAGAATGTACTATAATATGTGAATACAATTACTTTGGTAGATTCAGTATATGAAAATAATAAGAGATAAATATATATAAGTATTTGTTCTATTTAACCTGTTTCTAAATTAGAGCTATTTTGCTCTACTAATTCTTTGTGAAACCAAGCTATTAATTCATTCTATATTCTGCTAATACACTTTGCCAACATAATAAAGAAGATTGCCAAGAAATACAAGAAATATCTGATTTTTTTTAATGAGCCAGAAAATCAGTAAGAAGACGTTCAGATGCTTGTATTTAAATCAAAGACGATTACTTCAAACAATTTCTATTAAAACAAGTAAACGATAAATACAAAACTAAGCAAGAATAACTTGAAAACAAGGTTAGATAGAATAAACATTTGTATAAAATTTTTTATTATTTTGGTGTTTTAAATCTATCATTATGCATATTATAGAACATCCTAATATATTTATTTTTATCTCCAAGTACTGTTGCATTTATATTTTTTGTATTTTACGTATCTTTTAAGTAAGTATGCTATGACATAATATTTTTATTTTAACATTATCTTTAATATATTTATTTCTATTACATTTAATAAAATATATATATATATATATATAAATTAATAAATATATATAAATTAATTAAATGTATATATATATATATATATATATATATACATTTAATGTTCATAAAAAAATTAATTTATATTTAAATTTCACTTTATATTTAAATAAAATGTCATATTTTATATACAATAATAATTTTATATATAATGAAAAAGAATAAAAAATGCTTAATAATTATTAAAGTTCACTCAAATATCACAATATGTATGATGTCAAATATAATTATGTCAGAACATAGATGAAGATTTATTATTTTTACAAGTTTTATGGTCTGTACATAAAGCTATGATAAAATATAATATCTTAATAAATATATTATTTAGTACAAAATAATGTGTGTGGGTGTATGTGTGTATAAACTTGTAATGAAATGAAAAACTGAATAATTTGCTAAAATATGACAAATTTTTAATAAATCGCATTCCAATGGTATTTTAATATGATCCCCAAACTATATACTGAAAATGTGTAATAATGTACAAGAAAAAAAGAAAAGGTATATACAGGCAGGGAAATGAATATTCTATATAAAAAGCATATATTATAAACTATATAAACTACATGCAAAAAAGTACTAACGTTGAGCGATCATAAAGCTGATAATTAATCAATCACCTGTCAGCATTTGAAGGTGCATACATCACATAATTGTTATCAATATTAAGAAAATAGACTGTTTCTTACCTCCTTAATACTTTGATTTCATTTTCTAGAGAATCTTCTTTTCCTTTCAATGCCTTTTTATCAATAATCTTGACAGCGAACATTTGACCAGGTTTTTCTTTACTTTCTGCTAATCTTACTTCGGAGAAAGCACCCCTGTACACAAAGAGCTTATAATGTATATATTAATATGATTACTTGTACGTTCATAATATATGAGATTTATATATATATAATGTAAGGAATACTTTTAATCTTAATATATAACCTATCATATATTAACATTTTTTATAATTTATATATAACTTTCATTAAGAGAAACGTATGTCACGAAATAATAAAATAAATTATTTATAGAAATATCTTTTTAATTGTAACAAAATTTTAAAACATAAATAAATGTAAAAAAATAAATATATGTAGAAAACTTGCCATAAAAGTACATATATAAAATTTTATGTAAAACATCCGAAATACAATAAATATTTTAATGAAAAATATTGTTAAACAATGTTATATAAATTTATGGATAATTTTATAAAACGGTATATTGTACATTATCGAGCAGTTTCTATATATGTAATCGATAGAAAAAAGAAATATATATATAAAAAATCACAATTTAAACCGAAAAATAGAGATAAATAGAAACAAGCCATGTGGTAAAAATATTCTACGCAATCTATATAGGAGCTAAGAAAAGATTACGTGTCATTACGTATACAAAAACAATATCTAAGACTCACGTTCCAAGCAATTCCTTTAAAATATATTTGTCTTCGACGGATGGTGATTTATCGTCTTTCCCATCTTTCTTCATTTTTTTATTAGAATCCTTCTTACCAAAAAGCGGCATTTTTGAGTCGTCCGATAAACGATTATGCACAAGGAACACTTTCACAGAATAGAAAAAAAAGAAGGCTAAAAGATAATTCTAAGATGTGGTAAGGGGGAGGAGTGGGGAGGAGGGAAAAAACTATCACTCGTCGCACAGTCGCATACACTTTTACTATTTGCTAACACTTTCTTTGCTGACACACCTTAATAAAAATATTTCTTATATACTTGTATACAAAAAAACGATTTGATATTTGAAATCTTTATTCAGAGATATTAAAGAAGAAACGAAGTAAGATGGTTTATCATCAAACTCTACATAAGATCCAGATCATCGTTCCTTTTCGTTTAACCGATCATGAACTCTTGACCTTTTTCCACATTAATATCTCTCGCACCGTATTAAACTATCCTGATATCTCACTTTTTATTCAAAACGAATAAGACTTTCGTCGATAAATACTCCAACGCATTCGATTGCATTTACCACACTACACTACTATTACAGGTTCGCTGTCCAGGATAATATTGCGCGTATCGGGCTCAGGGTCGCGGCCCCGCGCCCTCGCGATCTGCACTGTAGATAAGCTCCTCCTCCTTTTTCTTTTCCCCTTCCACCTCTTCCACCAACTGCTCGTCTTCTTCTTCTTTTTCTTCTTCTTCTTTCTCTTCCTCTTCCTCCAACTCCACCTTCTCCTTCTATTCTTTCACCCCTTTCAATTCTTTACCATCACCCTATTAGACACCTTGTCTTATTCTATACAAATACAACGTTGTATTGTCTTGACGTTTTTGACAAATATTTGTCATTCTTCGAACGATTCATGTCGTTAATTTTTTATCCTTTTTATTAATAATATTTTTTCATCAAATATGTTTTAACGAGAATCTCTACTTGTATAGACAACAAGCTTTTCTATACTACATACTATCATCCAAAACTTGACACCAATTTGACGTATCTCGTTAATCGAAAAGTCCATGAACTAATGTAGTTTTATAGTTGATCGACTTATCTTATAAAAGAATAATATTATGCGACGAGCTTTTTAGTTTTAGCGCGAATATTTAATTTTCATTGCATATTCAATACCATTTTTATATATATGTATAACAGTTGTATAATACACACACGCAGACATCTTAAAGATAAGAGAAACTATATTTATTATATAAGTATTTTTATCAAACACATATCGAATCCATAAAGAGCTTATTGATAAACAATTAAAAAATAATTTGTAGAGTAACTTTAAACGTGTATGGATTCAATTATCATCCTTTTTAGGTAAAATAAAATAATAAATAAATATATAACTAGTTAAACACAACGAATGCTTTAAAGTTGCAAATTGAAAAATAATATTAAGTAAGAAAAGAATGAATGTCTTTGAAATTATATATAACAATCTTCTTGTAACACGATTAGAATGCTTTATCTGATTGGCGCGCAAATAAAAGTATCATGGCGGGAGCAATTTGATTGGCTAGTAATTTACCGCGATATATACATCTAAATTAAAAATTATGTAATATATCGATAATTGATACGACATTATGTTTATTAATAAGAAGTAAATAAATATTATATAGTATAATTAAATAAATAATATTATAAGGAATTAATTGCGAGTGATTATCTAAATGAGCGACGATATTTATTGTCGAAAGTCCACGAAAGACTGAATCATGATTCTGTTTATTATATGGTCAATGTTTATTTACGCTTGTGATAGTTCACAATTTCACAAAATCAAATTTATGTTTTTATTAAATTTCGAAGTAGTTTTATTAAAACAGTTTTCACGAACGTATAAATATTATTATTATTATTACCTTTTTGGAACTTGTCGTTAACCAATCAAATCGTTAGAATCTTTTACTATAAATCCAAGGCAGACCTAACATTAACCCCCACTCCGCAAATGGTTCTTGTTTCTATAGCTGAAGGTTCTTTAGAACACTTTGAAAATAGAATTGCAAAATACAGTAAGTATTAAGTAATACTTAAATTATATTAGTACTATTTTTCTGTGTTCAAAGATATAAAATTTGAATAAAATTTTGTTTATTATTTAATAGATAAAAAATTCGAAATGGCTGCTCGTTCGGTTCTTAAATATTTCCAATCAAAAACAGTGATGTATCAGATACACCGTTGTGCCTCCCAATCCGCATTTGAAATCCAACATAAGACTCCTACAATAAAAAAAACCATGCCAATACCAAAAGCTCATTATGGTGGACGACACACAGTTACTCTATTACCTGGAGCTGGTATTGGACCTGAGTTAATGGGATACGTGAAAGAGGTAAGTTAGCAATTATTTTAGTTATAAATAGTTATAGAGATATTGAAAATAATAATGCAAATAAATTTATGAACTTCCTCCCGTTATATATCATAGTTTTTATTATCCATTTTAGTTAAACCAATTTTACTTTAGGTTTTTAGGTATGCAGGTGTACCTGTAGACTTTGAAGATATAGATATCGATCCTAATGCTGATAATAACGATGATTTAGATTATGCAATCACGTCAATTCGTAGAAATGGTGTAGCATTAAAAGGGAATATAGAAACTCATAGTACTGAAGCAGATGTAATTTCACGTAATGTTGCCCTCCGCAATGAGTTAGATCTCTACGTAAATGTTTTACATTGTGTTTCTTATCCGGGTGTTAATTGTCGGCAAAAGAATATTGATATTGTTATTGTCAGACAAAATACAGAAGGGGAATATGCTATGTTAGAACATGAAAGTGTAAATGGAGTTGTTGAAAGCATGAAAGTTATAACAAGTTCTAATTCTGAACGAGTAGCACGTTATGCATTCGAATATGCTAAACGAAATGGAAGAAAGAAGATTACTACAGTTCATAAAGCTAATATAATGAAGCTCTCTGATGGATTGTTTTTAGAAATATCACGAGATGTTGCTAAAGATTATCCAGACATTGTTCATAATGACATGATCATTGATAACACTTGTATGCAATTGGTTTCTAACCCGCATCAATTTGATGTTGTACTTACTACAAATTTATACGGGGCTATTGTTTCCAATGTAGTTTGTGGTCTATTAGGTGGAGCAGGATTATTAGCTGGAAAAAATTATGGTGATCATTATACAATTTTTGAACCAGGTACTCGTAATACTGGTACAAGTATTGCTGGAAAAAATATTGCAAATCCTATTGCTATGTTAAATGCAGGAGTCGATATGTTGCGTCATTTAGGACACAAAGAACATGCTACTCTGATTCAACATGCAATAAATAAAACTATCAATCAAGGAGTACAAACACGTGATCTTGGTGGTCAAGCTACAAGTAGGGAAGTTGTTGATAATATCTTGAAACATATTAAAATAGCATCAGATTAAGTAATTCTAAAAATTACTGAATACATATTACCTGTAGATTCTTTGTATAAAATATAAAAACAAATAAGCTTCTAAAGTATAAGAATACAGTTTTAATTCTAATGACATCTTGCTATGTCCGAACTGTTTTATATAAGTTGTAATATAATGAAATGAATTATTCAAATACTAGAAAGGTAATTCTGTTTATAGAATATGATACAAAGTCAATGTCGTGAATAATTCGTATATTTCATTATTGTATTAAATTATGCAACGTACCATTAAGTAATTTGGTTTACTTTATAATTAAAATCATGTAAAATAAATTTTGTAAATAATATTGTTGAGTCTATAAAACATGTAAATGATCAATGAAATATTAATATTATATACACCATATGTAACTATGCAATGTGTAATTTCTATAATCCTGTTATTTGCTCTATAAACTATATGAATAAGGAAAAAGTATTAAAAGTATTTTTTATAACATGATTTTTTTACAATTCTTTACATTGTAAATAATACATATCAAAATTTAAATTCAGTTCACCGTTGTAAAAGTTGTAAAGCTAATTCTTCATCTGTTTTTAGGCCAGAATTTATAACTTCATTGATTATTTTTCGTCTCTTTTTAACATTTTTATCTTTTTGTACTATTAGTTTTCTTTTGGAAAAACTGCAATCATAACATTTTATTTATATAATTTTGCTCACTTATAATAGACATATTACATTAATATAATATTAATTCAACTTACCTGTGAATCATGCTATCTTCTTTATTTTCAATATTATCCGGAGAATTTTCATTAAAGTCTTCTTTTTGTTCTCCATATATTTTATCTGGATCTGGTAGCCATGAAAGGTCTGGTTCACTAAATTCACTTTCACTTACATCACTATTTGGTTCCTGTGATTCCTCATCATCACTTTTATCTTTATTCTTTTTACTAGCTTTAAGTTTAAGCTTTTCTTCGCGATGTTTTTCTTTGATTTTTTCTCTAAACCTTTGTTTATCAAACTGGTCTTCTTCACGTAAAACTTGTTTTGCTATTTCAATGTTAATACCAGAATCAATTTCATTCTCATATTTCTTGGCTAATTCGGATACTTTGCTTTTCGTTGGATCTATCACTTCCTAAAGTTTTAAGTTAAAATAAATAAATAAAAAATAAAAAAAGAAAAAAAAATGTATATATTCACAAGTAATATGATAAAATATTACCATTCCATCATCACCAAAAGTCTTTTTACTATTAGGGATTATTTTTTTCTTAAGTATTTTCTTTGCAACTGCAACTTTTGTAATAATTTTTTTCTTATTGCTCTTATCATCTTTTGTACTTTCCATGGTATCGGACATATCGTCAATATCTATATTTCTCCTCTTCACTGTCAATAAATCGTCGTCGCTATCGTCTATGTAATAAAAAATAATAAGAACAATTGTAATAAAATTATGTAAATTTTCATTATTGAGATGTTTACACTTACCATCCATAAAGCTAATATTATCATGTTTCTGAGTATGCGATATGTGTTTCATTGCATTGTTATCTTCGTTATCAGATTCATTAGAGGTAATATATTTATTTGTTTCACTATTATTGGATATGTTTAAATTATCACTTTCTTTGTTCTCCTTATTTATTTCTTTTTGTAAATTAGAAGTATTATTTTGTGACTTTTGTAAAAATCGTATTCTTGGTGGAATAGCTAAACCTAATGATCTAGAAAAATAAACAGATATAAAATTAATAAATTAAATTTTTATCTAATTTTTAGATAAAATTAGACATTAAATAATGTTATTACCTTGCATATTCATCGGTATTTAAAGCTTTTACATTAAATACTTGTTTGTCTTTCATCAAGAAAACTGATTTAATATATGCTACAAAAGCTCTTTGAGCACTTTCTTTTAAAGATACATCTCGAGCCAGTAGTGCTTCAAGTTTACGATGTGGCGAATGTAATTTATTTGGATTAATTCTAAACACGAAATAAATAATTAATAATGGGTACGCAAATCTATCATATACGTGATAATTCTCATAATCATACTTTATCATATTTATTGGTATTTTACGATCCTGAAGCCGTTGTATCATTTCTACTTCGGACGGTAACAAAACTAATAAAGATTCTCCACCTGCTTGAAACCTAGCTGTTCTACCTGCTCTATGAATATATGCATTTACATCTTCAGGACAGTCCATTTGGACTACCCAATTAACAGCAGGAAAATCTGAAATTATATTACTTGATAGCAATTTTCTTACAAAATAAATAAAAATTAAAATAATCGATTACCTAATCCACGTGCAGCGATATCTGTAGCAAATAATACAGCATAATGTTTTTTACAAAATGACTCATAAATATTCATTCTTCGCAGCTGATGAAGTGTACCATATAGAGCTAATAAACTTATTCCTGGTCGTAACCGACAAAATGATTCATAAACGTATTTGACCTTTATAATAATTGTTCCAAGTATAGTTAACAAAGTAATTAATACAGAACAAAATAAATAAATAATATTTGATATACCTGTTTGCAACTAGAAAAGAACACAATTATTTTTTGTTTCAAATGACTCCGCAAGAAAGACCATAACATTGCTGTTTTTTCTTCCAAGGAGCAAACAATATAAGATTGTTGAAGTCCTTCGGGAGTAATATGTTCAGCATGTTCATGCACAGATACATACATAGGATCCTTTAGACTTAGCCTGGCTAAATCTTTAACTGATCTAATAAAGAACATTAAGTATATAAGATACAAAAATATTATTCTTATTGAGAATATTTTATATTATTAAGAATGGATATAACAAAAAAATAAACATGAGTACTTGGTCTGCGTTGCAGAGAATAAAAGTGTCTGTCGCTTAATTGGTAGATTTTCAATTATGGAATTCATAGTTCTTTCAAAACCCATATCTAAACAACGATCTGCCTCATCGAGAATTAATATCTGAAAAATATAACTTTGCATGCTCATATATCTATATAAATTTATAAAACCTGTAATTCGTAATAAAATATATACCTGCATATTCACACAGTCAAAGAGAGGATTTTCATCCATATGTTGAAGCAAACGACCTGGTGTACATATAACGATATTACATTGATCCATACGTTTTTTTTCAAATTTCAAATCTTTTCCACCGATAATCAAACCTGCTGAAATATCATGGTATAGACCAACTTTACGTAAAGTTTCATATATTTGATAGGCAAGTTCTCTTGTAGGAGTAATAATAAGTGCACCAACACCGTCGTACCTTGTCCATTGCTTACAATATAAAATTTCTAATACCTATAGAAATAATAATTATATTAATACTATATATATATTAATACTATATATATATATATATATATATATATATATATACATATAATTTTATATGGCAATGACTAAAATCAAATTTTTACCGGCACAAGAAATGCTAATGTTTTTCCACTACCAGTTTTTGCTGCGCCTAATATATCATTACCCTTTAAAGCTAATCCAATACTTTGTCTTTGTATATCCGTTAATTCAATATAATTATTTTCTTTCAATCCCTTCAATGTTTTATTCGATAATGGTATATCATTAAATTTTTTTATTTTAGTTTCATCAATCTAAAAAGAAACATAATTTTGTAATTAAATGAAAGATGATACATTATGGTTAAAAGCAAATGTCAGACTTACATTATTGTATTTTGATCGTAGATCTTCAATAATTTTACTTTCAGGAATTTGTCGTTTTTTCTTATATATTTTTACCTTCTCCTTTGTTTTGTGAGCCATTATATGTGAATTACTGATTTTTCATCTATAATAAATAACCATGCCTTTTCATAGATCTTATAGATAGGTTATATCAAACAACACGAATGAACCAAATTGAAGCAAATCGAGTGTAGAAAAACCGAATAGAGCCGAGTAAAGTCGAATCGAGCCGATTTAAGTCAACCAATTAGCTTACGAATATTTCAGAAAACAAAAAATTTCTTTATTGATACTAATTGTAAGACTAAAAAAACAATTTTCATCAATAAAAAGTATCATATAGTTAAAAATATATATATTATAATTATTAATGTAGAGCTATATGTGAAAAGAATTTTTTTCTTTTGTAAAATATACGCAATATATTTTGTCGAAGATCTACTAGAGTTCTCGACAGTATAGGTTATTTCATTGCGTTAACGCGAATAGTTTGCATTGTATTGTTACAACATTAATGCAATATTGTTGTACAAAGTGTAATAATTGTGTTCATCTATGTAAATAACAAACAAATTCTTTTTAATATTATTGTGTGCAATATTATATTACTTTTTATTTATGGTTTATAATTTGATGACAATAGAATGTCTGATGAAAAAATGTTGAAAACGAACATGGAAACAAACTCGTCTTCCGGAGAACCCGTGACGCAGCAAATAAACAACGTAGAAATGCCACCACGATCTGTAAATATTGATTTCCATATTTTTTCAAAACGCGCGTGAATGAATATTTATTAAGTTATAATTATTACAAAATGTTACATAAAGTATTCAATTTTCTTTATTTTATACGTTATGGAAATATAGAGAGGTGGTCGAGGTTCGAGACAAAGAGCAGTGGACAACATAACCAAAAAATTTCTTCGAAATTTCGATCCTGAACGTAGCGAAAGAGAAAAACGTAAATTACATCGTCGTTTGTATCAAGGAAGTAAACGTCACACCTTGTACAACGATCAAGGTATTTGGGTCATAACTGGAGACGATTTATGTGATTGTTTAAGTTTGGATTGTGCAGGATGTCATTTTCCATGTCCTAAATGTTCCTCTACAAAGTGTGGCCACGAGTGCAGGTGACTTTTTTTACGTCATGCCCTACGTAACTCAATAAATGTCAATTATTTTTACGGAAAAATAAAAAAGAAAGAAAAAATGCATATTTCTTTTTTAGGAACAATCGCAAATGGACTTACGATACGATCGAAAACGAAGGCAGTGATGTTACAACGAAAAATCCAGTTCTCAAAGAAACTTAAATAAACATAAGGTTTGTCCTTAATTTTTCTTTATTTTTAATCAACGAACGTTCCTTAAACTTAATGATCATATCTGTGATATCGAGTAATAAGTAAACTAGATTTCTGTACATATTTGTAGAAAATAAGAAAGTTTTATAACAAAGAATATTTATATTTTTATTATCGAATATTATGTATATTCGACAATTAAAGAGCATTGTACGCAACGAAGCGACGCCCTACGAAAATATTGATTTTCTGTGATTTTTCTTCGACGTAGAGTGCAGGTAATGCGCACGTATTAATGCACGTGTCTACTATTACTACGTAGAGAGAGAGAGAGAGAGAGAGAGAGAGAGAGAGAGAGAGAGAGAGAGAGAGAGAGAGAGAGAGAGAGAGAGAGAGAGAGAGAGAGAGAGAAAGAGAAAGAGAGAGAGAGACATTAGAACGACATGGCCTACTTCGAGTCTAAAAAAGTGAGAATCCTTTCTTATTTACCACGAATTTAACTCCTATATTCCTTTGATACGATCGATTCACCCGTCGAACGCAAAATAACCTCTAATCGACAATCACACACGCGCTCTCGTCATAACGAGTCGCGGCGACTAATGTGCGTGCGCATCTCCTAGTCGTGGAGCAGGTGGGAGTGACCGTGCATGTGAGTAAACCGGGCGAGTGGAGTGGGGATAGATTACTCGGTGGGAAGGATGACAAGCGGGAGGAAGAGAGTACCGAGTATACCGATGTCGTTGACGCGGAAAAATCGGATGCAAGTGCTTTAATCGATCGGCAAAATAACGTCGTACGACCGGTCTTCTCGGTCTATCGTATGAGAATAATAAAGTAAGAGAATTGATCTGGGTAAACGTGTTCGTCCATTCCAAAAATTATATAAATCTTATCATTTTTCAAGCGGTTAGAGGTGTATGAGAGGATCGGAGGTGGTTATAATAGTGCACGACGACGGTCGATGAGCTTGCAACTAACAAAGCAACGGCATTTCTCCCAGGATTCCATCTATCGTATCGTGCGAATCAGTGTAGTGTTTTACGTAGTCCCTTAACGTGTTCTACAATTGTCGTTATTGTTGAAGAAGAAATAAAAAGAAGTCTGAAAGTGTAGGGTGGTTGGACGCTAAAGGAACAACCACCTTGACAACTGCAGCCTTCATCAACGAGGAACGGTATTCTTTCGAGGGCGTCGTCCAACCGAACAGGTTCATTAAATTATTCGTTCGTGTATTTCGTGAGAATAAATATCGTTCGTATTGCATCTGTCGTCGCTACATACGTTTTTTTCAGAAAAGGGGTCAGAGAGAATGATCATATATCTCAAAGATATCCAACGTGATAAAACAAATACGATTTGATTTGTATTACTATTAATCAATCATACGCAAGATCTTGTGACGTATATAACTAGTTATAAATTTTACCGGTAATATTCTATGTTGATATCAATTAGTAACGCGATTAAACGATCTGTTACATTTCTATTAATTTTACGAGAGAACAAAAATGTATTAATTTTATAATAATATTTTATTTCATTTCATGATAGTTTTTAAAGTCTATGAAGCGTGTCGATTAGAAAGGTCGCATTTCCTATACGCGTAAAGATCAGTGACGGCGGGAAGGGGCGACATAACCTTTTCGCGAAGTTTCGAATTGTCGTGGGTGGTGCGATGTGGTGTGCGATGCGGTGAGACGAATATGGGGGTGATGACGATGGTAATAGTGGTGGTGGTGGTAGTAGTGGTAGTAGGGGATGCCTCCCCCCCCTCTCTCTCTCTCTGTCACTTTTTCTCTCACCCCCAACGCAGCTCCTTCATCCATCTGACGTTAGGTCGTACGTGTGTGCGGTAGGTCGGTCGACGAGGAGGTTCGAGTCACTCCTAAACGTGGAAAGGGGACCCCGAAAGACGGGGGTTTATATCATCGGGACGGCAGATGTCAGGATGCCGGAGCAGAGCAACGACTATCGTGTCGTCGTGTTTGGGGCGGGTGGCGTTGGCAAAAGTTCTCTCGTCCTGCGCTTCGTGAAAGGAACCTTTCGTGAGTCCTATATACCAACCATCGAGGATACTTACAGACAGGTAAGTGCGTAAAGTCTAATTGACATATCATTTTCGATTCGTTTTTTTTTTTGCTAGTCCTTCCATCTTTCCATCCTTCCTTTCCTCTTTCCTTCCTTCCTTTCTTTCTTTAATCCTTTGGCGCAACGCGCAACGCAACGCAACGTAACTTGCAGCGACGTTTCTTCGGTGCATGATTCGCCGTGCATCGCGCGCGTTCCTTATCAATTCTTTCTGCATTTACATATTTTCTTTCCTTTTTTCTCTCGTCGTTATTTTTTTCTTTTCTTTAGATATCAATGAATATTAATGTTGATATTCAGTGACGAAACGATGTTAATCAAATTCGATGTTTCGGGTTAATTGTGTATCTTTGATTTTGTTATTCAATGAGATTCGATGTAACAGATTATCAGTCGGTAATAGTAGGTTCTATTAAAAAATTTTGTTTATATCTTTTTAATGGTATGATAAAAATAGAATTAGTATGAAGAGTAGTAGTAGTAATAATAGTAATAGTATGTAGTAACAGTATATAGTAGAAGTGACACTAGTATATACAGTCATTAGTCAACCGGCTAGATCACTTTCCGAAGTGATTTATTTTTAATTTTTATTTTCTCTCTCTCTCTCTTCTTTCGCTTCTATTCGCGTTTATCAAGAATTGTCTGCAATGACCAAAAAGAAAAGATAAAAAGAATGTTTCGTCCTTAAGTATCGTGAGGACACTGGTGGGATTCGTGCTGTGCGCGCGATGAGAAGCGTGTAAAAATATTCCAAGAAAATTGAGGGAAGCCGAGGAGGACTTGCGAGAGTTTTGTATAAAAACAATCATTTCTAGGTGATAAGCTGCAACAAAAACATATGCACGCTTCAAATTACGGACACAACCGGCTCCCATCAGTTTCCCGCGATGCAACGACTCTCTATAAGTAAGGGTCACGCCTTCATCCTGGTATATTCGGTATGCTCACGGCAAAGTTTCGAGGAGCTACGACCGATATGGGCTGTGATAAGGGAGCTGAAGGGTCAAGAAATCTCACAGATACCGATAATGCTGGTAAGAGTCTATAGTTCTGTTTTTGTTGTTGTTGTTTTTTTTCCTTTTCCCCGTAAACAGTCTCAATTCATTTGCAGAACATAAATTTAACCACTCGCGCTACTGTCAATATCTTAGCGGGCGCGTGTAATAAACTCACTCAATTTCATAATTTACAGCGGACTGATATTATTGAAATAATTTTGATAAAATACCATGTGCTATTCGACATTTCCGAACTGATTTACGTTCGAAACCTTATCGATGATATGATTATTAAACAACGTGGTATGCACCATCGTTTATATTTCTCTCTAAAGAATAATCGACCTGTATAACATCTTATTTCCTAGCGCAAGTGGTTAATATGTATTTGCTATTTGTCAGTTCACAATCATTTCTGATGGATTCTCTTTCGATTTGCATTTCTTACTTCTCTCGAACAGGTTGGTAATAAATGTGACGAGAGTCCTTCCGTACGCGAAGTTTCGATGAGCGAAGGCGCAGCGGAAGCAGCCAATTGGGGCTGTGGTTTCTTGGAGACATCCGCGAAGACTAATCACAACGTTAACGCGCTCTTCCGGGATCTTCTTACTCTCGAGAAGAATCGCTCCGTCTCTTTGCAGCCTGTAGAAAGTCACAATGCGATAAGTCTGAAGGAGAAATGCGAGGTCATGTAATCTCGCTATTTATTTTTATTCTTGATTCTCTAAAAACTTTTACTCGATCCCAACGACTCCATGCCAAACAAACAATCATCATAATCGTCGTCGTCACTATCATCATCATCATCATCATCATCATCATCATCATCATCATCATCATCATCATCATCATCATCATCATCATCGTCGTTATCATCATCATCATCATCATCATCATCATCATCATCATCATCTTTTTTCTCTCTCATTTTATCACGACAAATTCATCTTTAACGCGATAGAGAGAGAATTATCTTCGGGGATAACGAGTCGTCGATCCATTTTAATATTAACTTTCTTCCACCAAACGATATCGGATTTTGCACAAAATATTTTCTATCGACCAATGCGACGTCTATCTCTCTTTTACCCTCTCTCTCTTTCTCTCTCCCTCCCTCCCTCTCTCTCTCTCTCTCTCTCTCTCTCTCTCTCATTCCTATTATCAATACTCTCTATCTCTCTCTCTTTCTCATTGTCTATTCAAAGATTATTATCCCTTCATTTCCATATAATCCAGAAATCTCAAATCGAAATCTAATACGAGCTTAATAATCGTTAAGGGACACAATTATAAAAATAAACTTAGTACCTCCGTCGATAATGCAAATCATTTTCTATATGATTATCAATATTTCTGCATGATAATGCGAGCATGGAAAAGACACATTTTCCCTTTTTCTTTTTCTTCTTCTTCAATTTCTTTCTGCTTCTTCTATTATACATAACAAAAAACGAAAAAGAAAAAGGGACAGAGAGGAAGAGAGAAAGAGAGAGAGAGATGACGAGACATGAT